AGAACACTCACAATTATTATGATTTCAGAATATTTGGCATGCTCAGGTGTTCCAAATGAATAAATGTTGAACAATAAACCAGTATCTACATGTCATTTTGCAGAATATGTTAACTATTTCATTTTAAATTGGTTAACTTATTTGATAAGTTTTTACATTATATTGATATTGGGCTTTTTTTTAAACATTACACCCAAGATTCTTTAGCAGATGGTAATAGTTCCCCACTTTTTAATGTGGCAGATGGTTATATGGATTACTAATGTGTGCTAGCATTGTGGAGTGAGGAAAAGTATATACATTATACAAGTATATACATTTATACAATTTCATGGTTATTTTTTTCTTCATAAATAATGACTAAAACCTGTCCATTGTTTTCATGGTTGAATTTTCTAAGCTGTTTTATAATTTGTAATAAATACTGTATTTGGCACATAATTTTATATTTGGCATAAAAGAGATAACACAGAAAATGAGAGCCTAAAAAAGTTCTGTATCTAAAGTAACATTCATTTAAGAACATCTGTTACATAATGAAAAACTGGGGATTAAATGGTAAACCAGAATTGTAAAGAATTTGGGTTTACCAAGAAGTTTAAGTCCTCTTATCGCCACAAGTTAAACAAAGCCAGTTGGAACTATCTGTGCTATCTAAACTATTTGTTTAGATTCCTCTTCACCTGAAGAATTCAGGTTTGATACTTTCCTGGTAAATTGGAACCATAAATTATTTTATTGGAATCTTTAAATTATTTTACTGGCTTGTTCACAGTAAGTAGCCAAAACTCTATGCACATCTGATGACCTCTACATGTTTTTGGCTTCAATTCCAATCAGCTTCAAACATTATGGTTAAAAAAAAGGAACTATAAAAGCTTCTAATACAGCTCCTAGCTGTAATCCTGTAATTTACCTTATCCTTGCAGAAAGCAAACTAGGCAGAAGTATGAGAGTTGATTTAATTGCTTTGAAGAAAGCATAAGAACAAATAACTTCAAATATTAAGAAATATTTTAAAACTTATTTAATAAATAAACTGATTAGTGGAAAAGATTGTAAAACTATGTTGACAATGGCAATTAGTAAAGTTAAATGGTAAGACTACTTTGTTGTAAATCAGAGGTGTCAAACTCACAGCACACGGCAGCATCACATGACGTATCAGGACTTTTCCTCCCTTCGCTAAACTGGGCAGGGGTGGGGCCAGCATGTGACGCATCTGACCCACGGGCATAGAGTTTGACACCCCAGTTGTAAATGTTATATGTTATACAGTTATATGTTACAGTGTATATTATTTTTATTGTAATTGCATATGCATCATGATGTATATTGATGCATCATGATGTATATTGATATTGATGTATATTGATATTTTTATATAATTTTAACTTGTTAATTTTATTAAGGCTGGACTACTTCCATGTGTGGAGCACACTGAAAATAAGATTGTTTTTTAACCATAAGGACTGTGCAGCACTTTGGATTTAAAGGCAAAACAGTACTCCAGAACATGTAGATATACTCTCATAGTACCTATAATTGCATCTTTTTAAAAGATTTGTTATCCCGTCTTTATTACTTTATAAACAACTCAAGGCGGAGAACATATATAATACTCCTTCCTCTCCTATTTTCCCTATACCACTGTGAGGTGAGCTGAGAAAGAGTGACTGGCCAAAGTCACCAAGCTGGTTTTCATGCCAAAAAAAAGGATTAAAATTCAGTCTCCTGGTTTCTAAGCCAGCAACTTAATCTCAAAGAGCACAAAGGACCCTTAAGTTCAACCCTGAGCTACAAATATTCTCCTTTATTGGAACTTAACCTCTACACTAAATTAAACTAAACCTAGGACCACAGCTGTAATACAATCCCAGGAACAATTTCGTTTAAGGAAATACAAATAAAGGTGTTTACTTAGCTGAAAAACTAATTAAGACATTTCTTAAAAGAGAACAAATTGAAAGTTTCCTTAACTAGATACAAGTTTTAATTGGCTCAGAATTATAGTCAATTCCAAATATTATGGCTATTTACCGCATCAGATGATATGAACCAGGCCTCTACGGGTTTTTTTTTTAAAAAAACATGATTAAGACAAACCCGTGGTTTATTGGGATGGGTTAAGTTAGTCATTTTTGAGAATTTAACTTTTATTTTTTAAAAAATCAGTTCAGATTTTTAAAAGCCATTTTCAAAATTCAGTAGATAGGGATATCCTAGCATTCACTAATGCAACTCATGGGAGTCAGATTTGGCAGCAACAGAGTCACTGTTTATGTCAATTCTTCTTCACTACTGCCTTCTGTAAATAATACTTTTCAACTCTACATTGTACCTTATAATCCCTTTTCAAAAACCAAGATGTCAGTACAATAAATATTGTATCTCTTTAAAAGAACAGTAAACCAAATCAAGCAAATCATTAATGCAAATATACCACTATGCAAACTCAATAATCTGTCTTTTAATAAACAGTTATAAGGAATGTTGAGACCAAAGCCCAGCTATATTCAAGAAGCTAGGTGAATGAAAATGCACAGGTACAGTATATGTGGTACCTTGCTCAATAGTAGTAACTGTGAGAGGGATCTTGCAGACCTAGTGGACAATCATTTAAATATGAGCCAGAAGTGTGCTGCAGCTACCAAAAAAGCCAACACGGTTCTAGGCTGCATAAATAGAGGGATAGAATCAAGATCACATGAAGTGTTAATATCATTTTATAATGCCTTGGTAAGGCCACACTTGGAATACTGCATTCAGTTTGGTCGATGTAAAAAAGATGTTGAGAGTGCAGAGAAGAGCAACAAAGATGATTAGGGGACTGGAGGCTCTATAAAACATATAAAGAACGGTTGCTGGAACTGGGTATATCTAGTCTGATGAAAAGAAGGACTAGGGGTGACATGATAGCAGTGTTCCAATATCTCGGGGCCGCCACAAAGAAGAGGGAGTCAAGCTATTCTCTAAAGCACCTGAAGGTAGGACAAGAAGCAATGAATGAAACTAATCAAGGAGAGAAGCAACTTGGAACTAAGGAGAAATTTCCTGACAGTTAGAACAATTAATCAGTGGAACAACTTGCCTCCAGAAGTTGTAAATGCTCAAACATGGAAAGTTTTTAAGAAGTGATTGGATAACCATTTGTCTGAAGTGGTGTAGGGTATCCTGCCTAAGCAGGGGATTGGACTAGAAGACCTCCAAGGTCCCTTCCAACTCTGTTATTCTATTCTATTCTAAAATTGAAATAAAACAAGTAATGAGCAATATTAGCCCAGAACTAAAGTTTGGCCTCTCTTTAAGAACCTACTTCTGCATCTTCCAACATGCCAACTGATAACCCTGTTCACAGAACAAACGTAGCCATGTGAGGGAGTCAAAAATCTTTAACCTAGTCAAGTGATTCCAATAGCTAACCATTAGGGAGAAATTTTAATTTATAACAGTTCCGGTGGTTGGGACAAAATTGATTCTCACATTCAAGTGTGCTCTCCAAACAAGTATGCCTCCGAATTTGAGAGGAAGTCATAGAAACTGTCCCTTCAAATTTGCGATAAAACCATAGGGGGGGAAATCACAAAAAAGAACTTTTGTTAGGAATGCTATCACTTTTTTACTCCTCTCTCCAACCTGCAGCCATGAGGGGAAATAAAAAAAGGAGCATACAGGAATGGAAGTACATAAGCCACCCCTATGCCCCTAGCTTCTATATTACATTGATGCTGATCCTAATCACACCATCATAAATCATTACATTTCCTCCAAAGAGGAATAAAAGTTAACAGAAGGGTAGACGGTGATATTTTGTCAACCTCCCTTGTGGCATCTAGAAGAATTTTTTTAAATGGCTGCTTTCTAACCCATTGCATCCTTGGAAATCATGTATTTTAGATATAGAGATGAGTCAATTAAACCAGGAAGTGGTTTAAATTGCATGTTCAATAAAAAGTAAATTTCTCTGTAGTCAAGAACCTGAGTCAATTTTGGTCATACAGCCTAAGTTCATGTTATCAGGTTATAAAAGTTTTTTCAATAAAAAGTAGCTTTAAATTGAGAACTTCTGAAAAGAAATTGATAATCATGATGTAGTATATAATGTATATATGATGCCCATTGGAATGGGATGGGGTAATGAATTCAATGAAATGAATAAATAAAAAAGATTGAGTTCTGAAATATCCAGACTGATCAAACTTTTTATGAATAGTGCAATACACTGTATGCAAACTCTTTATTTAATAATGCACTTATTGTAATGGGCACTAAATGCAATATCAATATTACTATTATAAGTTGCATAGGGTTTCTTCCCCATCAAACATTTTTATAACAATATAACACAATCATAAAGCTAGAAAGAAACTATAGGTTTAAAGATAGAAGCATAAATTTGAATTTTCTTTTGCTTTGGCACTAGCTCCCCCTCCAGACCAACTTAACACTGTAATTACTTTTTTCATTATAAGTACCACAGTAGTCACAAATCCACATTTTCTTCAAATTTTGGGATGATTTCAGTCTCAGAAAATAATATATTTCTTTAAAAAGAAAATCATTTTTATTATCCTCATCTCTAAAGCACTGGAATGTACTCTGACACTCATATGTTTGTTCTAACAGTAAACAACTTGCTTTCAAACTGGAGAAATACCTGCTACATTCAATTGTATGTACATTAATAAGCTGCCCTGTAATCTTATCACATTCTTACACTATCAAGGGATACTTTGATCAGTTTATGACACCTTTTTTTGACAGCCTAAGTGGCTATTAACCAGTGTTAATAAAAACCCATCACTTTATATATATTTTACTATGTAGCTCAAGCAACAGTCTCTTAAAATAAACACTGTAAGAATTTATTATACAGTATTTTATATTGAACTTGAAACAAAACTTCATCTTACTCTAGTTTAGAAGACTCAAGGGAATGGATGGCAGAAATATTCAAAACAAATACATTAAATCTGCAGTCCTATACTGTACACACTTACCTTGACATACGGTAAATTCCAGAGAAATCAATGAAAATTACGTCTGAAAGAGGGAAAGGAGGTTTTCCTTTGGCATTATAGTATTCAAGTATATATATCTGCAGAATTCAAATATGGAGTTAAATAGATTTAAGCATGCGTAAACAAAACTGTTGTTCAAAGTTAAACCATATACTAAATTAATGGATAACAGTTTCTTCTTATAAAGTTCTAAGATCTCTGTTATCAGCAACTATAGACATGATCTGTAACTATCTACTTCTAATAAATTTAAAATATTGTGTTATTTTTATAATCAATATAATTTTGGAAAGACAGGGCAATAGCCTTGAAAGAATATTCAATATTCAATATTCATCCTTTCTTATACATACAAGCTGCTGAAGTCTGAATATATTTTTAAAACATGGATATAAAAACATAAAATTATTAATTTATAAAAGAAATACCAGTAATTGTTATTGACATTAATAGACATCATTAAACAATTTAAACTAAAAAAAACATATTCCCAAACCAAATCTTACAAATATTAATATAAACAGAATTCTAAACATTTGCAACCTGCTCCTCAAACATGTTATTACTTTGTTTTAGATAATTCCACTGAAAAGAACCACTCCCAAACTATCAATTGTCAAGTTTTGCATGTAAATATTTGCAGACTTAAGGCCCAAAGTGAATTACAGAAAGTATACAGTTTCATATTTACTTCTGAAGTGCTGTGTTCAGATCAGTAGACAATAGTGGTTTTGAAAACTTTTCTAGTCAGTGACCCTAAAAAAAGATTTGGCCTTGTAATATGATACTTATGATTCTTCCAATATTTTCATGCCATGATTCCCTCCATTGCAAAAAAAAAAAACAAAAAAAAAACCAACAACCAAAAACCCCTAGTCTTATGTTTAAAACACATAGCAGCAGGTTTTATTGAAAATCAATTCAGTGCGTTAGAGATTCACTTTGCAGAGATAGCACAATTTAAACTCAAAGTATTAGACAGTAAAAGAGATCCCAAAGACAAAAAGATGTAATTGCACTAAGCACAAAAACATCGTTTAAGAATTAGAACACTGAAAAAAAAATAGGATACATCTCCATGGATATTGACGAACTCAACGTAGTTTCTTAACAGGAATCACGAAATAAGAAAATCCCGGCATCCAGTTTAGACCCCCTTACCCCGTCCTTCTGAACGGTACACATTTCGCTTTCGCTAGCCCCCCAGGTGCATTTCCCGACTTAGGGTTTCTCTCTCTCTTTCTCTTTTTTTTTTTCTTTCTCCTCCCAGGGATGCGGGGGAGAGAAAAAAATCAGAAAAAGGGGCAAGAACAACAGCTCCACAGCTTTTCTTTTTAAGGCACTTTTTCGGCATCCCCGGCCTCTCTTCCCATCCCTCCGCCGCGCGCACTGCCTTCCTCCAGACACGCACCCGCAACCGGCAGCCGATGGCTTTTTTTTTTTTGCTTTTTTTTTTGCGGAGCTCGACGAGACTCTCCCGGGCACCTCCTGTACGGACTGACGGCTTGAAGACTTGGGCTCCCCGCCCGGTCTTTTCCTCTGTGGCACCTGGTTCCTCCTGAAGCCCGGTGCAGCCGCTTTCCGGGATTCCGCGCCCACATAGCAACCGCAGCGAGTCATCTCATCTCATCTACCTACCTACCTTTATCTCTCTGGCCTCAAGCGCCCTCCTTGCCTTCTCAAGGGAGCCCAGGCCCTGGCTGGGCTGACAACCCTCCCTTCCTCCTCCCTGAGAATCCTGTCCCGGGAGAGCTCGGCAGCCTTGGCGGAGCCTGCACATCCCTTCTCTCCTACCCTGCCTTTCGCTGACAAGAGACAACAGCCCCCCCCCCCCCCACACACACACACACACACACACACACACAAGCCGGCGCCTTGAATAACCGCTGCTGCTACGCCAGGCCCACCACGAAGAACCGGGTCGAAGCGAGCGAAAGCCGCCTCAGCCCCAAGCGGAGCATCCTCTCAAGTTTCAGAAATCTCCCCCCCCACCCCCACTCCCCACTTCGGAGCCCTCACAACGGCCTCGCCTTACCTTAAATCCGCGCCGGCAACCTGGCTTTTTTTTTGGGTCTCCGCGCCGGCCAAAGCTCCCGCAGTGCCGGGGTCTCCGATGGAGGAGAAGCGGGGAGGCGGCGCGCGAGGGGAGAATGCGATGGAAGCGGGGGAGGGAGTAAGCGAGAGATTGGTGGGGGGGGGGGGGAGGACCGAGAAGACGGAAGCAGGAACCCACCGCCGCTTAAAAGGAGCCGCCAGAAGACTGGAGCCGGGGCGAGACGTTGACAGAACGCGGACGTGGGGGGGGGGTGGCGGGGGGAGAGAGAGAAACGGCGCGCGCAGACGCGCTCTCCCCGCGCGCCCGAAAGCCTGGCCGATAGGGAAGGAAGTAATCCGACCTAAGGAACTGTAAAGAAACGAGGGCGCGCGCGAGATGGGAAGGGACGCGAAGGCCCTGGCGCCCGTTGCCTCCAAAAGAGAATAGACCCGAGGGGGCGTGGACTAGATGCGCGTGATGGGAGGAAAGCGGCCAATGAGAGAAGGGTAGTCTAAAATCTCTATGCGGGAGGAACGTTAGCTTCGCGGCGGCCAAGGAGGCAGCAGCGAAAAAAAAAAAAAAAAAAAAAAGAGCGTTGGCAGCACGCATGCGTGTTATAACCCCCGACGTCGCTGCTGGTTTCCCCGGGGGTGCCTGCAACAGCTGGAAGCAACACGTGCGTTCTTGCAAGTGAGCAAAGAGGGCGGGGATCGCGCACCGAACTGGAAGGGGCTAGTAGGAAGCGAGTTGTCCGGTTTCCACCCCACCCCGCTCTCCGGGCGGCCGTGACTTGTGTCTGATACCCTTTGACGGAAGGTTATCTAACCTCCTTCTTAAACTGGCCAGGTTGGCAGCATCTTGCGATGGTAACTGCTTGAGTTTAATACAGGGTTTCTCAGCTTTGGCAACTTTTTAAGACGGGTGGATTTCAGCTCCCAGAACGAATGAGATCGATATATGCTGGGCTTTCTAAGTGGATCCCAATACAGTGGCAGATTAATCTGGAGAGGTCAGTTTTCCACGGAAATCTGGTCCTAACCGTTCACAGCAGCACTTCGAATTGTACTTGGGGTGGATCAAAGTCAGTTGCGGGTGTTTCAGCTGAAATCGTGCTACATTTCTCTAAATGACACCTTTAACAATATTTCTTTATTTGTTAAATTTCTTGACGGCTGCCACTCCCTTGACTCTCCATCATTTGCAGCAATGGGCTTCTGTAGCTAACTATATGTCACTTTGCAGAAACCTGACTTGTTAGTAAATACTGTGTCATTTCCTCTCCAACAGCCAAACCGTTAAATTCAAATCACATGCTTATTTTTTTCAATACATCTTGTCTGTATTGTATTAAAATACCATCTTCGTTATATCCTTCCTGACTGGGAAAGCAACATTGTTCCTTCCTTATTTTTCTGGCCCTGACTACTGCAGTCTTCTGACCTGAAGTGTCCAATCCCAGCACATCTTAATTTCTTGATTCCTAAAATATTAGTGCTTGCTTACTGCCAAGATGTCAGTCACTGTTGAGCTTTTCCCTGTTCATGGTTCTTACATTCCACTATAGTTCTGTCCCTGCATGACAAGATCAACAATTAAACATCCCAAAAGCTTTAATGTAACTGCATTATAAACATCGTTAGTATTCTAAAAGATCCTCAACTCTTTCTCAGTAGTATGTTGATTGGCATCAAGGCACCAAGTTGGAAAGGGTGGGGACCATGAGTTCTGGTCCTGCCTTAGCTAAGAAAGCCAGCTGGGTAACTCTGGGCCAGTCACTCTGTCTCAGTCCAACTCACCTCACTGATTTGTTGTGTGGAAAATAGGAAGAGAAAGGCATACTGGATATGCTCACCACTTTGAATTATTTGTAAAAATAAGGTGGGATATAAATAAATAAATGCCATTCACTTTATTTTACCTATCCATCTGGTCCCAACTACTCAATTGTCCCCAGAGTTGACAAGTTATAAAGATAGACAAACATGTCATGTTGGTTTCTCTTAATTTTTTCCAATCTATAATTTGCGCTGTTTCCATATAGGAGAATTTTATGCAATTTGGACACATTTCTCATATTAACTCACATTATAGATCAATGTTTGCTTAATAGTTGTATTTCTTGTTGTGTTATTTTTCATTGTTTATTGTTCTATATCTTCTGTTCATGCACTTTTCTTCCTTTTTATTATTGTAAGTCACCTAAAGTAGCCCCAGAGTGAGATAGGAGGCAAATACATTTAACAAATAAATACATTAAATAAATAAATACTTGTGCTAATTTTGTTTTTCCTTTTTCCATGAACATGCTAGATGTATTTTTAAAAACTTTAAAGCATAAACAGTGAAGGTTAACTGCATTATGGCTCACATTTATTAAGGAAGTGAAAATTTGGGAAGCTAGTATAAGAAAACATTCTCCCATCCTACTCCATCTGTAATGGAATGCACACATGACCTTGGGGAAAGGGAGGCAAAGATGCTACCCAGGAAACAATCAGACGAGAGGCGGGAGCCCTCATGGCTTAAGGGTCAGAGAAAGAAATGTAGGGATCCTGCCTAATGGATCAAGCAGTTAAATGTGGCAACAGGAAGTTGCGCTTTCTCATTTGCAAGTTTCTAAAACTAGCAGCAGGAAGTTGTACTTTTTCAGTTTCAAGTTTCCATTAATGTAACTTTAAAATAAAGTAGAATAAGTTTGTTTTGTCATGTTTCCTCTCTGATTTACCTGGGAGGGCTGAGATCACCTGAAATTCCACCAAAATATAATTTATGTCAAACCCCAACCAATTTGCCATATCTTGGGGGAGGGGGGAATTGGAGAGTGTGGTGGCAAGAACAGCCAGGCGGTGGCATGTCAAGTGGTGACAAGGTTTCCAGCTGGGACGGCGTCAGCTCTGGGTGCAGCAGGCCCATTTTGTGCCATGTTCCAGATTACCGTCCGCACAGAAACTGGCCAAATTATTCATCACCCGCATCTATTGTCTCCACGGGGTGCCATTTCCTCAGGTTAGGGTTAGGGAGACAGAGGTGGAAATCAGGTAAGACAGCAAGAGGAGCCCTGTATTGCTCTACGCAACCCAAAATAATAAGACCTCCCCCAAAAATAAGGCCAAGTGCTTATTTCGGGGTTCAAAAAATATGAACAGGGTCTTATTTTCGGGGAAACACAGTAGGTTTTATCCTACTGATATTTTGCTATTTCAGTTTGTTCTAAATTGGTTTAAAACTTTTCTAGTTCTGGGTTTTATTAACCGAAAGACAGAAATAATGAAAGGTGTTTTTACTATTAATAGAATAGAAACTGATTAGTTCTAATAAAATACTTTACAGGTTGATTTTGTATGACTTTTCTTATGCATCAATATACATGTCTGACAGTCATCTTCTAAACAAATTGTTCAGACAATCTGAACCAAAGAAAACAAATGGAACCAGATAACAGCTGTAATACCAACATTAGAAGGACAATTTCCTGAGTCTTGGAAATCTATTCTCTCTGATTTCTTACTGTGAGCTCCACTTTTAATTTCTTGCTTATTCATGGCTCAGTCCATAAGGTACAAAGGTATCCTGTTATTCAGCCATCAGATATCTCCTGTATATTCGAATGGCACCAAGTCATTTTGTTATAGATCAAAAAAATATATAAAAGTTTGCCTTCTGCGCTGATTTTAAAGCTGCTTCTGTGTTTCAGAAATTCCAGGAGAAAATGCTCGTGATGTTTGAGGCACTGTGTATTAATGTAAAACCAAACAGACAAATATATAAGACATGGAAATGAACAAGGGTAATCTTAGCTGCAGAAATCACCTCCTGCAATTACAGTAAAGGCTCTATGGTGAAATTGTCTCACCCAAGGGAAGTGCATTTACCTTTAGTTACTATTTATTTTCCCAATGTAAAACCAAGTGATTAAATCAATGTCAAGGAACCAAAGACTGCTTTAAGAGAATAATCAAGTTGTTTGGAAAATACGTTTTGTTATTCCTTCATACTGTATCTATGGGTATCTGCAAGGGAGAGAATTCTATGAAAGGCTAAAATTCACTACGTAAAATATTTGTTATAAAGCTATTACTGAGCATGTAAATTATGTGTAACCCCAAAAAGTAATTCATTATGGAGCTATTGTATATTACCAATATATAAATTAATCTGTAAACTAATGATGAGTATATTGGAGCCAATATTAAAATTCAACACTTTCTATTTTACTCGTCATTTTGTTCCAACTTACAGAGTTTGCTAACATATAATTAAATCCTTACTGTATAAACAGATTTCTCTTACCATTTCCACAGATTTTTCCTACCATTTCCACAGATGAAAAATAGTGTACTGAATGAATCTTCCATTTTATTATATGAATATGTTTGCTCTGGGAATTGTTAGGGCTGGATCATCACCTGCAATCTGGTATGAGCCAAATCAAGAACATGAGCAATAGATTGAATTATCCTGGCTAAGAAAAAACTTGACCAAAGCATAAGATTCTAACCTATTACCCCAAAGTTACACTAAGGTATGGAATGACTATGCCTGATGTCCTGAAACTCTTTGTAGGATGGGCTACTTAGTCAATGGCTACATTGATTAAGAATAAAATTAAAAATGTGTGTTTCCCCACCCCCCTGTAGCTAAGAATGTTGTGCCATTGATTCGAATAAGATTATTTATTTAAAAATTACAGGATATATCACTTTCTTGTGCTCTTGGTGGCCTGCTCATGACTCTGATTTCACTATTGATAAAGTATATAGGCTTTAGAACTATTTCTCAGTATTCCTCTTCCGGCATCAATTTTATTAACTTCAGGAATCTACCTATCAATTTCCTTGTTAAACATTGAAACAAGGAAGATTTTAGTTAAGTCAACAGCTTTATTTGATTTACTTTTCTATCATTTTATTTCTTTTGGTTAACTATACTTTCATTGTTCTGTATCTTGTATGTTTTAAGTTAAACCATGTTATGATATCTGGGTTGACACAAAGGCCATTACATTACATATAAAATTCAAAGAGGCTAATAAAATGAGCATTAAGGCTCATTTCGAGAAGGATGAAAGAAGGAATATTTATCATAAAAGCAACTTGGTATCCAACATGATAAGAAATTAAGAATACTAGAGTTATAGTCAGGTATAAATATAGACACATCTAAAAACTTTTAAAGCCGCCACATATTTCTTTGGGATTGGATGTATAGGAAAACATGGAGATGCTTTTAAGAGTTGTAAACAGGTGCTAGATTTGTATCTCTGCTCTGAAACACCTTTTGGCACAAAATGTGAAATGCTACATTTTCTAAAAAAAAATACACAATAGGAACAGTTACATTTTATTTATTTTTTTTGCTAAAATTGTTCACAGAGATACCCCTAATTATGAAAAGTGAAATTGAGAAGGGGAATCTGCTCATCTCCTATTATTA